AATACAAAGTTTAAAAAATTGAAATAAGGGAGAGGTAATCCGGGAATTTTTTGATAATCTGTTTTCCATTTTTATATCAAAAACCAAAAAAAGAAATTTTGGTATGGTTTTGTTTATGTATTTATTTATTGTATCTTATTTATTATATTATTATTTATTATATTTATTATTTTATATTAGTTATATATAATCACAGTAGGAAAATGGATCAACAAACTTTAAATCCATGAGACACATGTGGGTGGTTCTGAAACACCCCATTCTTCTGATTGGTCTAGTCACAAAAAATTCAACTATTAAAGTAATATCAACAGTAATCAATTTATTTCTGAAGACACCTACAAAAAATGTTCACGCATCACACCGCCACTTTGGCTCCTCTCCTGTAGCTTCGTTTGCACTCTACAGAAATCTTTGGTTGACATCATGGACACTGTGTCCATATATTTTTACAATATTTGAGTAAAACCAATGTTTCAATTCCACTAAACTGTAAAGACATGGGCTGCTCTGACCATCAATTTTAACTCAATGAATCTTTTGTAATGATCACTTTGCTGTCAAATTTGACTCTGTAATTCTTTAGTGCTGGATTGTTCTCCAAAGAGTATAATTATAAGTGAAGTAATCAATATATTGGTTATTTAATCAAACAATGCTTATTAAACATTTATTGTGTGTGTGTGTGTGTGTGTGTGTGTGTGTGTGTGTGTGTGTGTGTGTGTGTGTGTGCGTGTGTGTGTGTGCGTGTGTGTGTGTGTGTGTGTGTGTGTGTGTGTGTGTGTGTAGATATATATATAAACTTGTTTTTGGTTTCTTTTCATTACATGTTTTGTTTGCAATCATTTTGAAGCTTGGAATGCAGCATGTAACAGACATTGTGCCAAGGTGGGTTTTAATAGGTTTTAATGCAGAGGACTTTCTCTCACAAGGTACATTGCTCATTCGTGTAACAAGAGAAATTGTACAAAGTCTATGAGACACCTCTTTATAAGATTCCAGAAACACAGCATATTAAGGAAGTTTGATGGTATGTCACCTCCACTTTTCTTTTTCCATCCAAGAAGCTGCTTAGTCTGATACACTTTATGTCTGAGATCCTCTAAATCTGTCTCGTATAACTGAGCAAAGACAAACAGAGGCTTCTCATTCAAAAACCTTTGGGTTGAGAGACTGAGTTATCTCATTTTTGCAGTTCAGCTGTGAGACTGTCAAGCAGCTGATAAAATAAAACTCTTTCTCAGCTCTCACCATCACTTTGATCAGTACTCCACTTTCCTACAATGCTCATGATTTATGAGTCATGAAGTCTTAAACTTGTTTTAGTCTGTCTTTTACACTCTGTTTGGACATTTAATTTGTATTGCTCCACAATCTCTCCAATCTCTTTCTAAAGTTTTGTAAAAAAATAAAAATAAAAAAAAAACTCACTTCTGTAGTTCTGTAATGCGTCTGCACTTACTGTACCAATGTTGGTTGACATACTCCAATCAACTTGATTGGAGCATGTCAAAAAGATATTAACAAAAGATAAAATACATAAAAAAATAAATAAATAAAAGATAACCAATAGCCCATGGAAATGTACAACGCTCTGAGAAAGAATCTCTTGCATCCACTATTTTCAAGTGCTATTTTTTTGCAACACTTCTACAACTACAGGAAGTCTGTCCCTCAGTTTTTTTGCATGCTATATACAGTACAGTATCTGCATGCCCAGCTTACATCTGCAAGTGTTTATAATTCATTGGGCTGCTGAACTGCAAGTTTCTTGAGATGAACGTACCAACCTGTTAATAGTTATAATGCTTCTGCACGGGATTAAAACAGTTAACTGCCTCAGGTGCTGATTTTACTGCAACAAGACTTCAACAAGAATGCATCTTACATCATTACTGTGCACATACAATGCCCAAAACTTTGGGCTGTGGGCCAAAAATACCAAACTGACAGTGATGCAGTAACATTTTATAATTAACCTATTAGGGTAAAAAAAAAAAAAACAATTTTGAACACAAATGTGTTCAATGCTGAAAACACTAGTCGAACTGCTACTGCCTTTGCCTTGATTTGCTCACTGATGTTTTATCAGCTAATTGCCAGTATTTACATTTTAAAAGACTAATTCATTTTACAATATTTTATTGAAACATTTAATTTCAGTTGGCTTTTTTTGTAGCTCAGCAATAAAACAAACCAATACAAGGTTTTGTTAAATTCGAAATGACAATTACTGTCAAAAGCATTAGTCCCAACCTCCTTTCCATCATTGTCCCTCTCTTTTCAGATGGCACAGTAGGCTAAATCAAAGGTTACCATGGGCCAACTTTGGTCCACAGGCCCTACTTTGGGCATCTCTGTAGAGACACCAGAATGTTTACCACTCATGACAGATGCACCATCATAGCCTTGCCCAAGATTATTTCTGTTGTCCAGGTCATGTTTCTTGAGGCAATCTATTATCATTTTTGTGAGGCCTGCAGCTTTCAGCTGACAAAAATTGTTAAAAAAACCTGTTGTGGATGACCCTGTTGTAATAGTACCTCACAACTAAACAGATCTGCTCTTTTATCTTTAAATCTTTGGTTTCATCTACAATTAAACTAAAGACTTATTAAGATTATTTCACCTTGCACCATCTCAGTTAAGCCCTCAAGAACATAATTCTGGATTTGGTGGTGTGTGTATGGATAATTTTCACTTGCATTTATACTTATGAGTTGTGTTTTGCTATTTTCTCTAAGATTGTTAAGTAATTACCCTCATTTTAATTTTCATCAGACTCTCGATGACCTCTGCTATATTTTGAGAGGAGGTCAACAGCAGCACATTAGCAGTTATTTTAATTTACAGTTTTCCACTGCTTTCTTTTTCCGATCATTATTAATGAAAACCAACGTGGATAAGTTGCTGTTGATGTCCCTTTTATACTGGTCATTTTGAAACAGCAGATCTGGTGCTTGATGCAGCTGGAAGGGGTTTCTATTAGCTCTGGTTCACTGTCTTGCTCAGAATCAGAGGTCTCTGTGTCATCCCTTTAATCCATCTGTTTACAACACAATCCGTTAGTTCCCATAGAATAGTAAAAACACATTTGTTTTTTGTCAATTGTGGGACATTCAACAGGTTTCCATAGTTTTTATTCTTTGCAAACTTTTTTTCGTTTTTGCTGTACCCCAGCTCACATAGAGATCGTAAAAAAAAGAGGAAAAAAGAAAAAGAAAAAATGTAAAATTTATTTATTATTTATGTGCTCATAAGTCTCCCTAGGTTTTATGTAAAACTTGTCAAAGCCATACTATTATGCAAATTTGTATCCTGGTTTGTCACAAATACACGCACACACTTACACACACACACACAAGCCATATTTTATTAGCATGATGATGAAATTCTAAGCCTGCAGAAATATGTTCATCATCTGACGCCATTCAAAAGCAAACAAATATAAATTTAAGTAAAATTAAAATAAACACACACAGACACACACACACGCACACACGCACGCATGCAAGCACACATGCACACACACTCACACAAAAATCTAACTACAATTGTTAAAAAATATATTTTAACAAAATAGCTTATTTAATATTTTCAACTGAAGTGTTGAAAAGGTTTATAAAGGATTGAGTGAGACATCTTTAATCTCCATTACAAATTTGCTTCTGAGTTTTATTGTGGCTGAAAAATAGGCTAGATAATAATTAGACCCTACAAAAGTAACTGACAGATGTAGTTAAAGTTGTATTTTGAAGCTTTAATGTATACATAGATAACATAGAGAACACATAGGCGGAATTAATATCAACCTCTGCATAAATAGATTAGATTTATAAAGTGTATTGGTGTAATTACAAGAAAAATCACAGTAACAGCTGAGTGATTTAACACGATGCATAAACATTCATTGAAAACTAAGGCACAATCCCTATTCTAGCTGTTAGCCCGCACCAATTCCCAATCCTTTTTAGCTTGAAGGTGTAGGGCTAAGGGGAAGGGCTAGATATCCCTTGAAATAGATTTTCCAGAACCACACTAGAAACCAATTAGTACAAAAATTTCCCAGAATACACCAGCTACAACAGCAACATGGCTGCACACGCAAGTCAGGTGATATAATGAATTTTTACAACAAACAGGCATATGTTTTGATACATTCCTAACGGCATTTGTGTTTTACAATCATAATAAAAAAAATAAATGCTAAATTTTGCTCTCTATAATCCATAATAATAACTCTTGTTTAGAAGTCCCAAAACATACTTTTACCTTTGTCACTCGATGGCACTCAAATTCCCTTTCAGAAAAGTCTGTGGCTGGGAATGAGCTTTTTACAGTGTCTGGTATAATGTTAATGTTGTTTTCTTGTGTTTACATAGATAAATATGGCCACAGGTTAAATAGACAGTACAGTTCTGAGCTTATTGTCACATTATATTGTTAAATAAATATATTGTTAGATAAATACCAAAAAATGTACAAAAAATTATAAATAACACAACTGGAATAACTACAGAAGTCACTGTCGTCAATCTGAAGTAAGAGATTGCAACAACATATGATGACGTGAGCAGGTGTTGTAGTGCTGACTCATTTCTTAGGGGTAAAATTGAAGCTCTTCCCTTTCACACTCTGTTTCAAGGGTCAAGCGGTAGGGGCAAAAAAAAAAAAGGGAAATTGGGATTCGGCCTTATACTTAGCAGTCTAATTGAGTTTGTGTCTCAATGCAAACATATGCTGCAAATTTCACAATATAAATGATTAACTAAAATATGGTAATTTACAGAACATTTAAACAGACCCCATTACTTTTTCGGGGAGGCACTCTATAAATTTATAATCCATATATCCTGCATTTTGTGATCTGACAAACTGTGAACAAATGGCCAGACGCAAAGCACACCATTTTAAATTACTGTGTAATTCTGCCTCTGTTTGTGTATAATATAGCTAAAATGATTTTTTTTTTTTCATTACATCCTCCTCTTTATTTATAGGGAGATCAAGGCGACCAGGGACCACGGGTATGTAGTCTTTTGCATGAAATATGCATGGCCTGTTCTGATGTGTATGTCTCTCTTATGTATTTGTGGGCTGCATGATGAGAGTATCATGATCTGTTTCTGCAGTTTTGCTTCCACAGCAGGCCCTTAATGGGCAAATTTAAGTTTTGTGTGTTGTTTGTGCATTGATGTTTGTTGGCAATGTGTGTAAAGCAGTGGTTTTCAAACTGGGGGCCACAGAACTGGGAGCCCAGATGGTGCTAGGGGGTAACAGGGGTATTTAACTGGCAATCAAGAATTAATTTTGTGGCCTGCATCATTCTGAAGATAAATGTATTTACAATTGTAATTTGCGTTTAAAAGTACTGCAAATATTAAGCTTTATGTTATCATCATATGAATGCAGTTGATACTTCCACATGCTGCAAGAGAAGTGCAGTGACGTATCAATGTATGCACAGGGAATTTTAAGTTTGCTACAGCCACAGGATCAGAAATGTCTAGGTGTTAATCCTGCCTTGACAACCAACTATGCAAATATTCATTCACTCTTTACAATTCTAAAATGAAATATAAATTTCTTTAAAACTGAGCAACCATGTAGCGTTCCCCATCAAGTAGATTCTCATGATAGATAGATAGATAGATAGATAGATAGATAGATAGATAGATAGATAGATAGATAGATAGATAGATAGATAGATAGATAGATAGATAGATAGATAGATAGATAGATAGATAGATAGATAGATAGATAGATGATAGATGATGGATGGATGGATGGATGGATGGATGGATGGATGGATGGATGGATGGATGGATGGATGGGTGGATGGATGGATGGATGGATTGATTTATTCAACTTTCTTGTCATTACACATGTACAAGTACAAGGCAACAAAATGCAGTTTAGGTCTAACCAGGAGTGCAATAGCCGTAAGTGCAGGATCTTGGTTTATATACAGGTTGTGTTAAATATAAACAGAGTTTTACAATAGATGATTATATGTACAGGTTGCTTTTAATAATCAGAAGTATGCAGATAGATATGCAGATAGATATGAACAAAATTACAGATGTATACAGTGTATGTACAGTGGGTATGATCAATTCAAAATTCATTAGTGCAATGTAGTGTGATGAATATGTGCAATTTTCATTCATTCATTCATTTTCTTTCTTCGCCTTAGTCCCTTTATTAATCTGGGGTCGCCACAGTGGAATGAACCACCAACTTATCCAGTATATGTTTTACGCAGCGGATGGCCTTCCAGCTGCAATTCATCTCTGGGAAACATCCATACACACTCATTCACGCTCATACACTACGAACATTTTTGCTTACCCAATTCACCTATAGCGCATGTCTTTGGACTCTGAGGAACACCCAGAGGAAACCCACGCGAACGCGGGGAGAACATGCAAACTCCACACAGAAATGCCAACTGACCCAGCTAAGGGCTTGAACCAGTGACCTTCTTGCTGTGAGGTGACAGCACTACCTACTGCTCCACCTCGTCACCATGTGCAATTTTATTTGTACAAATTTTAAATAATAAATAATGCAGTGTTTATAATAATGAAGTGTAAGTTATGAGGAGAGTGGTGCGAGTATGAGAGGGTGGAACAAAAGAGTCAGTGGGAGTCAGAGTTCAAAAGGAAGACAACTCTGGGGAAGAAGCTGTTGCTCAGTCTGCTGGTTTTTGTCCGGGGAACCTGAAGGGCCTGCCGGAAGGAAGGACAAAAAATAGTCTTTGTGAGGAGTTCTTAAGAATACTGTGTCCTTGGCACAGACAGTGTTTCTTCTGGATGCAGTGCCTTATGCTCAGCGACAGAGCAGCTTCCATACCAGACTATGAAACAGTTGGTCAGGATGCTTTCTATTGCGCAGCTATAGAAGTTCACTGGAATGGTTTAAGAGAGCTATTTCTTCTTAAGTTGCCTCAAGAAAAAGAGACGCTAGTGAGTCTTCTTGAACGGATTGGAAGTGTTGGTGGTCCAGGACTTTTGAGATGTGGGTTCCCATAAACTTGTAGGGTTAGACATGCTTAACGGCCATCCCATCACTGTAATGTCATCTGCAAATTTGATGTTGGTGTTGGATCCATTAACAATGCCACAAGTCACAGTGACAATGACAATAAAGGAGAGCTGAACGAAAGTGGAAGAAAAACAGGATTCATGTTTTAAAGACTCCCTCAGTAATTATCAAAATGAAGTTAATAGAGTAAAATAAAAAAGATATTATCATGCAAACTGCTCTAGACCAAAGGCTCTTTTAACATTATTTAAGGTTTTTTTTTTGCTGGGATGTCCTGGGATGTCCTCTTCATATAAATATATATATATATATATTTATTTATTTATTTTATTTTTTTTAGAAAGATTAGAGATTTTTTTTTACTTGAGATAACTCCTCCTTCTCTTAACCTAACTTTCCCTTACACTGCCAGTATCTTTTTAAAGCAAGCATAAAGTCAAGCATCTTAAGCCCTGGTTCACCTTTGTGTGTTCTTCCACCTTTTTTATTTAACCAATTTTTTGCTGATGTTGCCCACATACCCCTTGACCATATTAAATCACAGCCTAGAATCTCGTATTTTACCAGAAAGTTTAAAACATGCAGTGGTGCACCCAGTGAAAAAAAAAAAAAAAACTGCACTTGTCAATTAACTTCAGGCCCATCTCAAACCTCTTGATAGATATTTTTTTAGCCAAATATGTTTTATTTGAAACATTTCAGTCATTTTTTCGTAAAAGTAACTCTACTGAGACTGTGCTCTTGAAAATTGTTAATGATATGCCCATTTGCCCATTTGGAACAGTATTTTGGTTTAAGAGGTGTTATTTTAGAATAGTTTAGGTCTTGTGTTATGAACAGAATTTTTCGTCAAGGTTAGTGAACGTTTCTCAAAGATGTTTCAGTGATCTGTGAAGTTCCCAATTGGTCTATTTTGGCCACACTGTTTTTTTTTTCATTTTTTCATTTTTTTCATTTATATGCATACATCACACTCAGGTTTACTTGCCAGTCGAACAAAACTCTAGGGGTATTGGATCCCTCTTAGCCTGTTTGAAAGCGGTAAAGGTCTAGCTGAATTATTAATTTTTATTATAACTTTTTTTATGATGTAAGATGGGTGAGATGTCAGAATGTGTCAAACCATGGGTTAAAAACCTTGGGATTTATTTTTGATGATGGCCTAAAGTTTGACCGTCAAATAAACTAAAGACTACTTTCTAAAGCAAAGCTTTTTCTTTATTAAAATGATCTTGAAGACGTTTATCTCATCTAGACTTGACTGCTGCAATTCATTTTACTTTGGGATTAGTCAGTCATCTCTTTCAAGGCTACAAATTGCCCAAAATGCAGAGGCCCATCTTCTGACAGGAACTAAAAAAGAAAAAGCATATTACTTCAGTCTTTACATTGCTTGAATGTTCTTTTTAGAGTTGAGTTTAAAATAGATTTTTTTCTCTACCTCTAAATGGTACAACAGTTTACCTCTGTGAGCTACTGATACTATATCAGCCCACCAGATCCCTTTCGGTCTTCCAAACAGGATCTGGTGTCCATCCCCAAATCAAAATTAATTGTAAGAATTGGAAGGGTACTAGTGTAATGCTTTTCACCTGACAGCACTCAATCACATGGGAATATGGAGAACTATGTTTCTTGTTTATTTCCCCTCTCACCGATAATTATCTCTGCTGGGGTTTTTGCAGGTTTTTTGAAAAATTAATGATTACCAATTGATTGATATCAAGTAGTTGTTTGATGAATTAACAAAACTATAATTTTGGTGAAAGCCACATTTAAAATATTCATTAAACATCTGGGTTTAGACACTTCAATTTAGGTTTAAGTCAGTCCATAGTACTGAAACTGCCCTCAGTTCTTAATGATTATTTAAGGCTACTGGGTCTGGTGACTGTCATTTTAGTTATGCTAGACTTATTCACTGCCTTTGACTCTGTGGATCATGCAATTTGTGTGGGTCCAGGAAGGACTATTTTGAGTTGGTTTAAATTTTTCCTAACTAATAATATATTTTCAATTAAGATATGTAACTTCACATTGCCATTAGCCAGTTAAACTGTGTTGTGGTGTCCCTCAAGGAACCTTTTTAGCAGTCTTTCTTCTCTCTATATCTTCCACCACTGGAATCCAGTTTTAGGAAACATGACATATATTTTCACTGCTACTATAATAATAATGACATGCAAGTCTATCTGCCTTTATCCACAAAAAAATGTGGTGCTTCTACTTGTTTACTAGAATGTCTAGATTGTCAAATTATAGCTCTCTAAAAACCTTCTCTTTTTGAACTCAGAAATCAGAAGTTGTTTTTTGGCACATCTTAAATCTATACAGTTTTTAGCTAATAATTCCCTGTGTCCCCAGCCCGATCTCACGAGAAAACGTAAGTATTTTACGTTTTGCCAGTTTAGTGACTAATTCATACGAATTCGTATGAGTTCAGTCGTACGAAATGGTATGATTTTAAAAAGCAGGCGTGGCATCTAACCCCACCCTTAACCCCAACCGTCATTGGGGGATGAGCAAATCGTACTAAATTGTACGAATTAGATCGTACGAATTGATATGAATTAGCCACTAAATTAAAAAAGTTACGAATTGTCGTGAGATTGTGTTGGTGTCCCCATTCCCACTGTCTGAGAACACCTAAAACATCTGTAAAAAGAGATCATTTATATGTGGCATTTCTGTTTTTGTGTGAATAAAGCTTTTAAAAGCTAACCTATAAAAACCTGAAGACGTTTTTTTTAAAATTCACTACCAACAGAAAGTCTTTAAACCTTGGAGATTGCCTGGCTTTAAAAATACAGGCTCAAATCAGTTGAATAAGATGCTCAGAGAAATGTAACGGAAACTTTTGCAATTAAATACAGCTGAAGGTTTACTAGCAGAACAAAAGTAATAACATGCTGCAACTAAAAGACATATGAGTATATTAGACTAAGAGCCATTGAAAGACTTTAATCATTTCCAGCTCAGT